CCGCCTCAGCCCCCGCCCCTTGTGATTTGTAGACACTGGCAAGAACTGGAAGTCTGATTTTTTAATGGTACAAATACGTCAAAAAGTGGGAATTTGGGAATTTCCCTTAGCATTTTGTCCTGCTCCCTCCTTTAAATGTCAGCTTTAACTCCCAAAGAAGTGGCACGCTTGACTGATTAAGGGCAGAGGCGAGAGGAGAGAGCCAGCTAGCACCCGCCGTCTGCGCCTCTCTGGCCAGCGGTCACCCCGCCCACGGTGCGCTCCGGCGTGGGCGAGCGGTGGGGACATGTTTGCTGGTGTGAGCACCGTTTCGTAAAAAGCTCGGGGGGGGATCTCTGGGCTGCTGGCGTCAGACCCTGCTGCCTGTGCCACGCACGGCGGGGCCTCTGGGCCGGAGCCTGTGTCCCCCCAGCCAGTGCGGACCACACTTCACGTCCTGCTGGTCATGCACGTGGTCCTTCCACTTTACAGAGGAGGATGGTGGCCCATGGAGACCTGCAGGCCTGTCCCCACAGAGCTGTCGGGGTTGGGGTCCATTCAGGCCGGTTCTGCCTCCAGAGCCCCCCTCCCCTGCTGGCCAACCACACACGGCTGTGCACTCGTGGAGACTCGGGGACAAGTGGAGAGGACCCTGCCCTCACGGGTGCGTGCCAGCTTGGCCGCCAGACATGCGAGCAGGGGACGGGATGGAGGAACGAGACAGGAGCGGAGCAGCCGGCCAGGCTTCCTTGGGCCCAGCAGGCGCCGGCCGACCTCACTGCAGGCCCCTGGGGCAGGGCCAGAGCCCCAGGGGGTGGTCACACGCGTCTGTGTGGAGGCCCCGGGCGGCCAGCGCCGTGACAACTGGCTCCCTGCAACCAGACACAGCTGACCTCAGCTATCCAGCGTCACGCGTGGTGTCTCCAGATGCGGGGTTTCCTCAGCACCCTGGGAGCTCGTAGCCCCCTCCCTGTGAGGAAACGTGGGGCTGGGCTCAGGGCGTGACTGTGACTCGCTGCCCCCGCCCCAGAGCCTTCAAGTGGGCAGTGGGGTGTGCCTGGTCGGGGCCTCGGACGGTCTCACACGCCGCTTGCCCTCCGCACCCAGGACACCTCTGGGTGCTCGTGTCCCCGAAAGAAGAGCCTGCGCTAGGCCACCAGCTGCTTTGCTCCTTGTCTGGGGTGCTGTCTCCCAGGCGTGCCCTGCCGACACCTCTCTCAGGGGCCCCGATGCCTCGTGTCACGCCACACCCAGCGATGTCAGGGGAGGGGCAGGTGTGCTGGGCAGCAGGTGACCGTCAGCCCCTGGCTTCTGCCGTGGCTTTGACCAGCACACCCCACCAAGGGACTCTTGGAGTGAATCTGACCTCAGGTCACCAAGTCCCCTGACTCTCTCACCTCAGGACCCCAGGCACCATAGCTGCGCCCGGAGTGGCCTCAGGGAGCCTGGCATGTGGCCAGTTGTCCCCAAGCAGGGCCCCCGTAAGTGCTGCAGATCAGGGGACACTTGGAAGTGGAAACGGGGTACTTTCAGCCACACTCGGTTCCCCGGAGGGCGGGAGGAGGAGACCAGCAAGCTCTGTGACGGGGTCGCCCAGCAGAGGCTGTCCCTCCAAGGGGTGGCCAGGGGGCCCACGTGCCGCACCGACACCCCAACCTGCAGAAGCAGGAAGCCAGACTGACCTCCAGTGTCCCACAGGCCTTGGCTGCCCCCACAGGGCTCCAGGCCAGGGGTGGGGACGTCGGGGCAGCGGTGATCCTCCTGGATCCTCCGCGCTGGGTGGGGACGCTTGGGGTTTATTTTGGCGCTGGCCGAGCAGTCAGGAGAGCGGGCCGGCTCCCAGGGGGCCGGCAGCACAGCCACACGTCGTCCCCCCACGGGCTCGTCTGTGAAGGCGCCGTGCAGCCGCTGCCCGCCAAGACGTTTCTGTGCATTGAAGGAGCCCAGATCCTGCACAATGGGACAGACACGGGTGGCATCAGAAGCTGGTGTCACCCGGGATGCCAGCTCTGCCCTCTGAGTGCCTGCTCCCCAGTCAAGTCTGGGCTGGCCCTGGAAGCTGCACCGGGCGCAGCGGGGCCGGCCTTCCTGCCGAGAGAAGGCTGGGGTCGAGGACATGTCCAGACATATGCCGCCGCCACCCGCCTTTCCCGGCTGGAGGCACAGCCCTGTGGGCCAGCCCGACCTGAGGACGTCCAGCCCCAGGGTGTCTGAAGGGCAGGAGGGTTCTGAGCCTGGGGCTGCTGCCTTCGGCTTCAGATGTGGCCAAGTCTCACCGCATTCACCTTTACCTGCTGTACATTAGCTTTTATTTGGGAGACCTCGCTCTGGTAAATAACGGAACAAGCTGCGTTTCAAAGCCCCCTACGAAGTCCAGTGGCCGGGTGGAGGGGGTGCAGGGACATGGTGGGCCTCTGGGCACTCTCACCCATGCCCCCACAGAACCTTCCAGCACTACCTCCTGCAATCCTGGATGTCACAGGACTGACCGCGCGGGGCGATCGGGCCTAGCACAGGGCCGGGGCAGGGTGAGGTTTGCAGGAGCGACCGTCACACGGGCTCCCCACAGACACACGCGAGCTCCGCGTGACGACGTGGCTGATGCTCTGAGACCCCACGTCTGACAGCCAGTCCTGTTCTGTGGCTGTCAGACGTGCCCCCATCCCATGAAGCTGGTCCGGGGGTCGCTCGTCCGCCCAGGCCTGTGCGGTGGGAATCCCGGCTGGCTCCAGCCGGGGCCGCCGGGGACCCCAGGGGAGGACGGGCTCAGCGCGCCCGCTGGCACCGGCCCATTGGTTCTCCCAGGCCAAGTCCTTGAGTTCTGCTGCGTCTGCCATGTGTCCGCATGGCCCTCTTTATTTGTACAGAGTTCTGTTACTGCCTTTGTAATTTGGTGTGACTTGTACTCGATGACAATAACCTTCTTAGCTCTCGTGTCCCTCCTACCCCAGCAGTTGACCAAGCTCCACCAGCTGGCCATGCAGCAAACCCCCTTTCCTCCCCTCGGACAGACCAACCCCGCTTTCCCCGGTACGTACCCGGCCGCCCCCTCGGACCCCCCTCTCCTCCCCGGGGGCTCCTCTTTGCACACTGGCTTTGCTCAGGGCGTGAGCAGAGCAGCTGGAGTTCCGGTGGGCACGTGGCGTGCGCGCTGCCGGGCCGGGCGGGAGGCCTGTGTGTCCCTGAGGTGGGTTGGTCATCTCCCAGCTGGCCGTCTTGACCGGGGTGCCGGTCTGCAGGAGGCCGGGGCGCGTCCCCGGAGTGACGCCCACCCCAGACGGCGCCTGCCCTGCCCTGCCCCTGGGAAAAGCCAGGAAGCTAGTCCCCCAGCGCAGGGTGCAGCGGCAGCGGCTCTGCCGGCATCGGGGTGGGGCGGGCCTGAGCACAGCTGTGTCTGGCCGGCGGGCTCCTCCTAATGACACGGGGCGCCACCTTGGCAGCCGTGGCCGGCGGGGGCCCGCCAGACACACCCATCTGCTGCCGCCAGTCAGGTTCTGAGCTTCCCTAGCCGAGTGGCCTCGCTTATCTCCTTGAGGGCAAAACGTTAAATGTGTCTCTTCTTTGCTCTCCAGGAGAAAAGCTGTCTTTACACTCCTCCGAAGAAGCTCAAAATCTGATGGGCCAGCCCTCAGGTAAACGGGGCGCCCCCGGGAGAGCCAGGCCGGGCGGGGGCGGCCCATGCCCTGGGCGGGCCCACGCCCTCTGCCCGTCACCGCTGGGAGCGTGGCCGCGCGTCAGGGGCTCCAACTGTGCTCCGAGCACGCCGCCGCCCGCCAGGCCCTGAGCACGGCAGAGGGACTGTGTTGTCGTGTTCTCTGGCGGCACAGACTTCACGATGTGGGCCTTCCCTAGACGTGCGCCCCTAGGAGCCAGGAGCACACCATCACGCAGGAGAGCACCGGGCACCCTCCCGGGATGTGTGGACCCCCTCCCCCCGGGCGCGGGCCAGCGAAGCCACCGGAAGCGGTGGCCTGGTCTAGCGGGCTCCCTGTGAGAAAGGTGTCACCCACTCTCCCGTCCCCCAGGAGGTCCCGGGCCAGAGCAGAGGACCACGAGTCCAGCTAAAGGCCGATGAGGGGCAGCAGAGCGTTTCCAGCCGTGCTGGCCGTCCCCTCCCCCCCGGTGGTGTTTGGGCCCCGGGGTGCGGCTCAGGCTGCAGGAAGCCCCAGGACTTCCCCACAGGCCCCCACTGGGTCCAGCTGTGCACCCCGGGGCTCGCGGTGCGCCTCGGCTGAGACACTGGCTCTGATGCTCCCCCGTGGATGGCGGGCTCCCCCTCAGTGGAGCTTTTGAGTCGTTAATGCCGAACTTAGTGAGTGGAAATTAGAGAAGAATTTATGGAACGTTTGCTCATGGGAGCAGATTTCAGCCCTTGCAAGGTCACCGTCTGGGCGACGCACATGGGTTTGTGCGGCCCTCTGCGGTTTGTAACGCGGTTCCTGTAATTACCCACGAAGGGCTCCTGGAGATGCCTGGGACCCCCGGGGCCTGGCTTGCCTGGGGCACACAGCCCCTACCCTCGCCTTCCGCCTCCCCCACAGCCCCTCCCCCACAGCCTGCCCGCCTCGGGGACTTGGGGCTCCTCTCTGTGACAGCCTCCATCCCTAAAGCCCCGTGGGACCCGAAGCTTGTGCACGCCCCCACACACGCACGGCACGCACGCATCCTGCCACCACAGCAGGTGAGGCACGGTGGCCCTGACGACAGCACTGGCTTGCTGGACAGGACCCTGAAGGCCGCTGTCAGCGCTGCTTGCAGACAGCCTCGGGTTGTGTTGGGGAGTCCAGTCCCATCCCAGAGCATGGTGTCATCGCCACAGCAGTGACACTCACAAGAGCCCGCCACCCGGGGTCCCAGTTTTAAACTTCTCATGAGTTTAGTTTTATTTTCCTCTTGCAAAGGGTCTGACACCCCCTCCCTCAGGACACACCAGGGTGAGCAGGTGGGGCCCGTGGCCTTGTGTCCGCCCAGGCCAGGCTGGTAGGGACTCAGGCAGGACTGGGGAAGTCTCTTAAAAGACATTTTCGGTGTCACTGTGAGATGCGGATAGATAGTTGAACCATATTGAAAACGCTTTTGTTAGAAGATGCAGCTTGAGCCTGCAGAAGGGAACTGACAGACAGCCTGAGGCGAATGGTTCACGCACCTGCCAGCTGGGCCGCCATGCTCCAGGGGCCCCTAGGCCAGCCCCACGCAACGAGACCATGGCCATGTGTGCCTTGTTTTGGGGACACAGTGCTGAGGAAGAAGAAGCAGGAAGAGGGTGGGCCATGGGAGTGGGGAGGCTTGGGGCGTAGGGAGGAAGCGGGGCCATCAGCGAGCTTTGGGTCTTGGTGGCACTGACCTGCATTTTGTTGGACGTCCTGGGCCTTGGGAGATGAGACGGTGGGGTGGGGCAGGACGGGGACCAGCGGGTAGGAAGGGGGCCCAGGTCCCGGGGCGGGAAGGGGGCCCAGGTCCCGGGGCGGGAAGGGGGCGCAGGTCCCGGACCGTTCCGCAGGCGCGTGAGCCCGCCTGGCCTGCGCAGTCGGCGTGAGCGGAGAGACGGGGTGGAGCTGGGCTCCAGCGCCTCAGCTGAGCCTCAGGCCCCAAGAGGAGAAGCCGGGACGTGGGGCCTGGGGAGGGAGCACACGGTCCCCACGTGGGCTGTGGGCTTGAGACACCTCCTGAGAAGGGGGAGGCGGCACCAGGGACAGGGAGCCAGGGCCCGCGCCCCCACCACTGCCCCCATGCGTTTCCTTGTCCCTTCCCAAAGCGCGGGGAGACGGCCTGCACTCCGAGGAGCTTTTCGTTGGCTGGCTCCCGAGCTGAGATGTGTCAGGATAAAGGTGGGGGCCCAGTGACAGGAAGCAAGTGTCCCCACCTCCAACATAAGACCCCGCACAGAGACGCAGTCTTCCGGGGGCCCCGTAGCTCGCCTGTGGGTCCTGGGGCCCAGGCAGGGTGAGCCGCACCGGACCCGGGCCGTGGAGCGGGCCACGCAGTCATGTGTGTGCGGCACAGGGTCGGGCGGCCACGGCAGGCAGCTGGTGTCACCTGGGCCGCGCGGGCAGTGAGGGGGCCGAGTGCCGCGGGGCTGGGGCGTGGGGAGGGCAGAGGAGACCAAGAACCGAGGGAGGACAGGCACCCAGCGTCAGGCAGGGGGACCAGTGCGGAGTCCCCAAGACGGGGCCCCACCCTGGAGCCACTTAGCCCAGGGCTCCCCAGTGTCTGTGAAGTCGTCCCGCCTGGCAGAAGGGCCATCGTGGTGTGCCCGGAACAGAAGCCCCACCGTCCTTCTGCTGGGGTCTCGTTCTCCCTGGTTCGTGGGAAGCTGGGGCTCAGGACTCGGTGCGGCTGGGCTAAGATGTCACAGGGCCTCAGCTGTGCTGCCCGCCCGCGTAGGTGCTGGGGTGCAACGGGGGCAGCCTTCCGCCAGCCTAACCATGTCCCCTTGGTGTGCCCAGGTCTGGACGCCAGCCCCCCGGCCAGCACTCACGAGCTCACCATTCCCAATGACGTGAGTATGCCAAGCCCCCGCCCACCCCACCGCACTACCTCCCCCCACATTCAGCCGTCAGAGGCCCTGGCGCCCGACGGGAAAGGAGCCGCTGGGGATTCAGGTGCCAGGGCTGGCGGGAAGCCTGAGGGCCCCGCTGAGCCCAGGCGAGGGCACGGCCCTGGTCCGGGTGGCCCAGGAGAGCTCAGGAGCAGACCTGCCCTGTGCCCCCTGGTCTCTGGGGGGCTGTCGCACGGTGTCCGGGCTCCCGTGCCTGGCGTGCCTGGCGCCCAGTGTCAGCTCAGCTGTGGGTGGCCTCACGAGCCCCGCCCACACTCTATCCCTCCACACCATCCTCTGAATCCTCGGACCACCCTGAAAGCGTTGACTCGGCTCCCAGGATCAGGACGCCAGGGCGGCGGGGGCCACGTGTCCTGGAGGGGCAGCGGCCTGAGCGGCATGGAGCGGCTTTTCCCGCCCCAGGCCCCAACCCTCCGCCTGCGGTGCTCTGCCCCTCGCTGCCCGGCCGGAAGCCCCGCCTCTTCCTGTCAGTGCACAAAGCACAGGAAGCACGGACTGTGACCTCAGGTGGCCCACCCGAGGGTGGAAGGAGCTGGGCACTGGGCCCCTGGACAGGAGTACTCCAGGCCCCCGTGCAGCTGCAGGCGTGGGCAACATGGCCCTGCGTCCTCGAAGGGAGAGGGTGTCTGCGTCAAGGGCTTCGGACACGTCCTCGTGCGTGGCTGGTCCTTGCACGGCGGCCCCGGGCACCTGCCCGGTGCTTTTGCCCAGGCGGTCCGTGCGTGTCGCCGCCCCACTGTGCGTGTCCTCCTTCGTAGCCTTGTTCACCAGCACCAGCTGCCCTGCCCTGACCGGCGCCTTCGTTTTAAAACTGAGATGCACGTGACAAGCGAGAGGGAGCTCGTCGGGAGCGCCTGTGCCTGTCCCCCCCAGGGCGCGGCTGCCACCCTCCCGCTGGGACCGAGGCGCCCTGCAGAGCCCGCCCTCAGCCTCTCCTCCCCTCCCGCAGCGCGGCACACGCGCCCGTGCTCCCGGGCCCCTGCCGCCCTGCCAGAGGGAAGTGGAACTGTCTGTCGGGACAGTCACCTGTCAGCTTGTCCGTCTCTTTTCCTCGGTCGAAGTCCGATCAGGCACAGGGAGATCGTGCCGACACCTGCGTGTCGCCACAGCTTACCTGCAGGAAGGAACTGGGGACAAGCGTGATGACTTAAATGATGCACAGATTCCGTGTGCGTCAGCCTACACCAGGCAGCCTGCCGAGGTGGCCGCGGGGGCCCAGGCCCGGCCGGGGCCCAGAGCTGTGCGTAGCACTGCCCCACAGCTGGCCGCGCCGAGCTCTGTCCCTGAGGCCACCGCTGCGCCCTCGCCGCCTGCAGCGCAGTGTGCGGCACTCACGCCACTGTGACTGGCAGCGCCGTGCTCAGGCCCCTTCCCCTGGTCCCGGTCCCAGAATCCCCCAGGCCTTCTGCGGGCACAGGGGACCCAAGGGCTGGCACAGGCAAGTCCGGGAGCTGGGTAGGGTCGGGGTGGCTTCGACCTGGCGGTTGGTCAGGAGGAGCTTTGTTCCTCGGGAGCATCCTGCCGTCTGCCTCTCAATGCCTGGCAGAGGCGGCGGGGCGGGGGAGAGCTGGTCTCTGGACCGGACGTCCGAGGGGCCCGGAGACCCGGGGAGGCCGGCGAAGCGGCGGCTCTGGGCTGCGGGACGGCCCGGCGTGCCTCCTACCGGCAGGCGAGTGGCCGGGAGGGCGGCTCGGGCCTCGTGCTCCCAGTGCTCGCGTCCACTCAGAGAGGCTGTGGCTGGGCGCCGCCGCCAGCGGGGAGAGTGATGTGTGCCGCCTGGTGCTGGCGTCAGTGTCACACCTTGCTGAGTCCCTCTCCAGTGCTGGAACCGCGCAGCTTTACCTGCAGGGAGGTTCCCCCAGGCACGGAGCGGGGGCTCGGGTGGGTGCGAGGTCCCTGGGGCTGGGGGACACCCTGAGGGTGGACAGGAAGAGCGCTGTGCTGGCTGTCGTTTCCAGCAAGCCGGCGGGGAGCCGGGCACGCTGGGGGAACGGGGCGCAGCGGCCAGGACGCCTTCCTCAGTGGCTCGCGGAGCCCACCGCAGCGGGCTGGGCAGGGCCCTCGCACCCGAGCGCGGGGGCACTCGCAGGAACGAGGTGGCCAGCACGCGGTTTCTGGTGGCCGAGGAAGGCGTGAGGACAGGAGGCCGGCCGGGCCTCGTCAGGGCAGGGACGCCCAGCGGGCCCCCCTGGCTGCCGGCCTCTTCAGGGAGCCCCGCTGACCCCACGTTCTCCTCGAGCCCTCAAGACGCCTCTGCCACCGGGCCCGTGCTCGGGAAGAATGGTCAAGGGTCTCAGGCCGCTGGCTGGAGGCCACGCTCCCTGACCCCAGGAGGACCGGGGGCGGGCCTCGGAGGGGAGTGGGGCCTGGGGACAGGGCAGGTGGAGTAAGCTGAGCGTTGGGGACAGATGGTTGTTGGATGTCTGGGCAGATTGTGGGCAGTCTGGTGGGGCTGCTGGTCTAACCTCGGAGAGGAGCAGAGGTGGCCCCACAAGTGAGCCGTGTGAGACGCCATAGGCCACCTCTCAGACGAGAGCTGGTGGAGACGCACCCTGCGCCCGTGAGCTGTCGTCGGGGGCAGGTTCAGGGCACCTGTGTTTGGGAACGGGTCCCCCGGGACCGTCTCACAGCCCGGCCCCGGCCCCGGCCCCGCACGGCTGCCGCACGGACGGAGGACGGGCGCTCCCTCCTGCTGCAGGTGTCGCCGCGATGCTGGCGCCCACGGCCGGGCCGCCTGCCAGGCCTCACTCTCCAGCCTCTTCATCCTGCGCAGCCGCTCAGAGCGCCGACTGGTGGCCCCTGTGTGGACGAAGCGCCTGGGTCCATGGGAGAAATCGAGAGGTGCCCTTGCCCAGCAGGACGGGCCGAGAGGGCCGGCTGCCACAGAGCGCCGGTCCCGACCTCAGGCACAGTCTGGCCCCACATGTGGCTGTCCTGTGTCCTGATCAAGCCTCGGCTCTCGTCCCTCTGGCTGCTTATTCTCAATGACACCTGCTCATTCAGATGGCTGAGTGGCCAGAGGCCACTGCATCCCATCTTTAAACAGGTCGCACAATGGGAGGGAAAGGGACATCTGATGTGTCCTCAGAATTTTGTCCAAGTTCATCAAAAGACAGGTCTCAGGCAGCCACAAGCTTTACCCTGGCTTCAGACAGACATCCCGCCGCCCCGGGAACTGAGCCGGGAGGGCGCCTCCACCCTGGTGCTGGCATCAGGCCTCCTGGCTCCACATCACCCAGGCCCCCAAAGGACACTGGGCAGGTGATGCAGCCACGTGACTCGGGCCTCCTGATTTGTCGAGCCGGCTCGCAGTTGGGCACCAAGCAGAGCCCAGGTGCCCACAGCCCCCGCCTCTCCCACAGGAAGGCGGGCCTGCCCCGTCACCCCCCAGGGCGGACGGCACGGAGCCGGTGGCATGGCCGCCCCGCAGGCTGCCCTGGGCTGCGCACACCCTGCCCGGGCCGCCCTGGGCTCCTCTCTAAGAAACCCCATCCCTTCTCCAGCTAATAGGCTGTATAATTGGACGCCAGGGGACCAAGATCAATGAAATCCGACAGATGTCCGGAGCTCAAATCAAGATTGCCAATGCCACGGAAGGGTCATCGGAGCGTCAGATCACCATCACGGGGACCCCGGCTAACATCAGCCTCGCCCAGTACCTCATCAATGCCCGGTGAGCACTGGTCAGTGGTCGGGACCCTCAGAGACCGGCTGGCCGGGGCGTGGAGTGCGCTGGAGTCTTCATACAAACACAGGGCCTTGCCCCCTTGACCTTTCACCCTGAGGGATCATCAGTGGGAGGCCCAGAGCATTCTAGAGGGGCGATAGCTCCACCGCCCAGGGCCTGGGGTCCGCCATACGGCAGGGTTAACTGACACTTACCTTAGGGCTGTGGTTTCTGAGAGACGTTAGCGGGTCACCTCGCTCGCACATGCCTCATGGCTGCAGAGACACCCCCACCCCCAGACGCCATCGGAGCAGTGTGACAGGACAGTGCGGGCTCGAGCTTGCCCGCTGGGGAGGTGACGTCCTACAGCCCGGCCAGGGCACCACGCCTGGGCCGCTCACCTCGGCCCCCCTGCCCAGGGCATGTTGGAGAAGGAACACGGTGCCAGCACCCGGGGAGGCGGGACCTCACCGGAGGGAGGGAAGGGGCCCTGCCTCCCCCGCCACACACGCAGGGCCAGACCCTCCTCCCCGACCCAGGATGCAGAGGGGCTGGAGGGAGGCCTAGGCTGGCCGGGGGCGGGGGACAGCCGTGGGCGTGCGACCCCAGTGTCACTCTCCACGTTGTGGCAGCCGTATTTGTCACACCCCGATATGGTGACAGGGACAGAAGACCTCGTGGGCCCAGTCCCTGGCGGGTCTCCCTCCCTCTGCTGGGCGCTGGTCCCCAGCTCCAGCCCACTGAGCGCGGACCCGGGATGACCCGCCCCAGCAGAGGGCACACGGCTGCCAAGGCTGCGTGTCCCGCGTCTGCTCCCGTTCCGTGAGCATGCTGCGACCTGTCTCTGTCTTTTCTCCTGCAGGCTGACGTCCGAGGTCACTGGCATGGGCGCGCTCTGACCCTTCCGGTGGCATCCACCCCGCGGCCCCGCGGCTCGCCACTGTACAGACAGCCCGCCCCTCGTCACAGATACAAATAGCGGTTTTCTTTATGACACGTGGCCGGTGCCGCCGAGACGCACGCACCAACGAAGCAGCCGCGTCCACGGCTGAGCCTGGGCCCACCCCCGCGTTAGCCTCCGCCCGTCTGTCCCTGCGCCAGCATGCGGCGTGACTTCTGTCCTGTGCTCCGGGGCATTCCCGTCCGTGACGTTCTAGAAGTATCGTTCCTAGTGTCAGTGTGACGTTTCAGAGTGGGTCTGACGTTTCGACGCCGTCCCCTGCACCGCCCCGCGGCCCGCTTCCCCTCGCCCGCATCCAGGCGGGTGTCCACGTGGGTGTTTGCCCGGGCGTGCCTCCTCCTTGTTCCGAGGGAAGGGGGAGCATGGTGCCGGGGCCCTGGCCGAGGCACAGGGTGAGGTGGGGTGCTCGGGCACTTGAAGGGGAGACATGGGCCCCTGGGCACCTTCGGGGGGCCGGAGGGCACGGGCTGGCTGGGAAGCGCCTCTGCTCCATGTCGGAGTTCAATAAAGGTCGTGGGCCGCCCCGCTGGCTGTGGCTCCTCTGTGCCCCTCGCCAGGCCCCGTCCCTCCCGCGCACGTGCGCTCGCACCCGAGACCCGGCCCAGCAGCCGTGGCTGGAGCAGCCAGTCCTTTGTCACGCAGTCAGCCCCCGGCCCTGCGCCCCCGGCCTTCGCAAGTCATTCCGGTTTTGCTTTTGCAGAATTACTGAAAAAGACAATGACAGAAACTTCATTTTTGGTTTCTGAATTGTGGACTCACCTCTCCCACCACCTGTGTGTGGGGGGACAGGCCACACGCAGTGACCCCAGTGTGCACACCACACCCTTTCACCGAACTGTGTTCTCAGCTCGCCCCCGCCCACCGCCCCTTCTGGATGCTGAAGCCCTGGGTGGGACGCGGGCCCTGGCAGAAGGGGGCTCACGATGGACAGAGGCCGTCAGCCTCTCCCAGAGCCTGTCAAGCACCCAGTGGCCCGGGGTGGCCTGCCTGTCAGCGGGAGCCCCTTCGCAGCTGCCCGCGTGGCCAGGCCACCTGGCACACTCCCCTCACTATCTCCACAGCCCCTGGTCAAGGTACAGTGCACATCACAGCAGCGCCGAGCCACCTCGCACACCTGGGTGGCTTAGGGCCATGTGGTCCACTCACCCATTGGACACGTTGGCCACATGCCGGCCACCCCTCAGGGGAACCTGGGAGGAGGCGGAGATGTGGCAGACACAGGCCATCCCCTGGGCACCTCCGTCGGCACGTGGGCAGTGGGTGGCCGGCAGACGGGGTGAGTACGAGCCTATAGGGCAGTAGGTGTGGCGATGCACAGACCCGGCTGGGCGGGGCGCCAGGAGCTCAGTGTGGAGTGGGCAGGCACAGCGGGCCGACCCAGAGCAGCAGGCGGAGGGCGGGGCGGGGGGCCAGGCCGCACAGGGCAGCGGGCACCGACAGGAGGCTGGGCTGGGCATGGGGCGTGGGCGCCAGGGGCATATTGAAGGGAGACCTGGCAGGACCAAGACAGCCGCCCGCGGGCTGCGCCAGGGTCCAGGCAGGGTGGCGGACGGCTGGGGCTGTGGGGAGGGGGCGGGCTGGGGCTCTGAGGTCCAGCTCTGGAGCATTTGGGCAGGGGGACAGAGCGGTGCCAGCCCAGGGTGCTGGGGGGCACTGAGGGAGTGAGGAGAGCCGGGCGAGGCCCAGATGCTGACCGCGTGCCGGTGCCGCCCGCCCCAGTGAGGCCCGGCATCCTGAGGAGCTGGGCCCCCAGGGAGCCGCCCCGAGCCCGGCGGGGGCGTGGAGGCCAGGGCGGGCTCGTGCGCCGGGGGGCTCGCGCGGGAGCGTCTACGTGTAAAACCACTGTGAGCGTCCCGTAGAAATCTCCGTGCAGCCATCGGCGTCCGTTGCTCGTGGCACGTGCCTGGGCCGGAAATGGCTGGGGCGTGTGATGGGCGTGCGTTGCACCTTTCGAGGAGCCTCTTGTGCGTGTTCTGCAGCGGCTGTTCCCCGCCACACTGTCTCCGGGTGGGCGGTGCCCGTTCTTCCACGACATCGGCAGCGTCTGCCAGCTGGTCCTGGCGGGTTCGCAGTGGCACCTCATCGTGGCTTCTGCTGCGTCTCCCCCATGACGATGACACGGAGCGTTTTTTCGCATGTTTATCTGCCACCTCTGTCTTCTCTGCTGGAGCGTTCGAATCTCTTGCCCGTTTTTAAATCTGGCTTCTCAGTACCGAGTCGTGAGCCTTCTTTAGTTTCTGGACGCGGTCCCCTTACCGGAGGCGTGCGCTTGCGGCCGTGGCTCGTCTTGTTCAGCTCTCGGCGACGCCGTCAGCGACGCCTGCGCGTGGCTTTGCTGTTTCTCGCAGTGCAAGTCTGCTGGTGGCGAACTCCTCCGGGCGCATCGATGTGCACCATGTTTTAACTCAGCCCGTCCTCCCGAGGGCTGTTCGCTGGCCTTCGCGTTTGGTTGGCTCCTTCGTCACTTTGAAGAAGTGGCTCGTCTTCTCGCTGTCTTTCCCACAGGGAGCCTGCCGTCTCCCTCACCTTTGCCGCCCTGTGCGTGTTGTCCTGGCTGCCACTGAGGTCCCCCCCTTCGTCGCTGGGCCACTCGAGTCCGGTGTGCCTTGCGGTGATTTTCTCATGCGTCTCAAGCCCGCGCTTTCTTGAGCTCGCGGGACCTAGGCGGGCCGATTGTTTTCATCGAGTTGAGGGTTTTTTCAGCCATTATTTCTTAAAACCTGTCTCCTGCCCCGCCCCGGCCCTCCCGTCTTTTCTCAGAGTGTTTTATTTAGTTCGTGGTAGTGCCTTCGAGTTCCTCGCCTTCCCTGCTGGAGCGGCGGGCGTGCCAGCCCCCAGCCCTCCGGGCTGCTCTTCTTTCCTGCGAGCACCTTCCTTACTCACACGCGGCGATCGGGACTCTGCTGAGCATGGAGCAGATGCAAGGTCCTCTCGCGGCAGTCCGTCCTTCCCGGCGCACTCCCATGTGACTGCTCGCCGCCTGGCCTCGCCGCTGGGCCTCGCCGCTGGGCCTCGCCGCCCTGGCCTCGCCAGGCTTTGGGTGGGGCCTCCTGGGCGAGGGGACCCTCCCAGCACCACTTGGGACTCTCTCGTCCCGGGCAGCTGCGGGGCTTGCCTGGTCTGCTCCCCTCCCTCTGGGGTCACTGTGCTTCATGGCCTCTGTCCAGTGTGTCCGAGGTCACTGTTCCACGGGTTTTGCTTGTTTTCTGGTTTCAGGCAGGAAGGTAAAGCTTCCTTGTTAGTCCATTTGGCGGGAAGCAGAAGCCCCTGGCTCATTTGTCCCATGGACTCCTGCATTTTATACACGTTTTCTCCTTAATTTCACGAGTTCTTCATAAACTATTTAAAATAAATTAATCACATTATTTCATATTTTCTTTTTTCTAAGCTCTCTGACAAAATCGTATCAAATTCAGAGTTAGTTTAATAGTTTTCGTTACTTAAAGACTGCCAGTTTTTAACAGTAAAATGTAAACCTCTTAAAATGCAATGCAACATCTCCCGTTAGCGCTAGGTGGTCCTTCTGTTCTCAAGACCGCGGCCAGTGCCTTCCTCGTTGGCGTGTGTGCCCCAGCGTTCTGTTTTTGCGGACGGCCACCCAGGTGTGCCAAAGCCGCCTTCCCGCTGACGTGAGAGGCACCTTGGCGTCAACCGGGGGGCGCTGGCTGCAGAACCTCCGGCCCAGCCGCCGCCCGTCGTCCGTGGAAGTTCACCCCTGCTCATTTCCGGGCTTCACAGTGTCGCTTGACAAGGCTCATTCCTCATCGTCACCCTGCGTTTTCAAGGACTTTTCTTATTGTTTATTTTCCATACAAACTGCGAATGAGCTCGCTCGTTCCGAAGCAGGACCAGTTGGCCTTTTCGCTGGAACCGCATTAGATTCATTCGTTACCCGGGGGAGCGTGCAGCTTCGCGTGCTGAGTCTGCGTTCCCAGAGCGGGGCACGTCCCTTTCCGTCTTCTGTGCTTCTCCGTGTCCTTCCTGGTCTCAGCGCGCTTTTCCTTCGTAGAGATCGTGCACGGTTCTTGCTAACTTTGTTCCTAGGCATTTTTTCATTTCCGCTCCAGTCATGAAGGGGGCCTTTCCTTCCGTCACCGCTTCTCCGTGATCGCTCCTTGTCCCAGGGCAGGTAAGATTCACGCATGTCAGCTTCGTGTCCTCCACCTCGCTGGATGCATCGTTTTACAGTTGTTTTTCAAACGATGCTGCAGGTTTCCCCAGCGTAGGCTGGGGCTCCGGGGGAGACCGCCAGGTTCGGTCCCAGCTCTGCCACTGACTGGCCGAGCGAGCTCGGACAAGCTGCTGGGCCTCTGGGCCTCGGTTTGCTCTTCTGGAGAGTAGTGACGTCACAACACTTCCCAGGGTCTTGGTCATGGCGAAGCGAATCGCACGTAAAGCACTGCAGACCGTGGCGGGCACCCGCAGACGTTGCGTCCAGCTGTGTCGACAGAGCCCCGGCTGCGGTGGCGTCAGGCGGTGGCGTCAGGCGGTGGCTTCTCCCGCCGCGTCTTGGTTTCCGCGCCTCTGATTTGCTTCTCTCTCCCGATTCCATGGCCCGAGCCTCCGGAGCGACGCACAGCGCCATGGCCGGCACAGGCGGCCTCCGCCTCAGCGGGGCTGCGGGCCCACAGACAGCCGGGGCGTGGGGTTCGCCTTTGGAAAGGACCCGCTTGTTCCTGTTTTACCAGGAGCTTCCCTGTCAGCAGTAGTAGCTCTTGGATTTTGTTAACGTTTTTTGAGCATCTGTATATATAATCTCCTGATCTTTCTCCTTAGGTCTGTTAACGTGAATTCTACTAATGGAGCCCCTAATAACGGACAGTCTCCGTGAGAACTTAGTTATCATGTGTTCTCTTTTCGAGGTGCTGCCTGGCTCTTCCCTGGTATTTTATTTCGGATTCTTGCCCCGATGTTCAGTAGGTCAGGTGGCTCTGCGATTTCCTTTAGGATTTAGTCTTCGTCGGGTTTGGGGATCAAGGTCATGCTCGCGTCTGCAAAAGAATACGGAAGTTCTCCGTCCGCTCAGCCCGGGACGGTTTGACAGCGTCCGCGCTGCGGGCCCTCGGCAGCGCCAGATAGTTCCCCCCGGACGCAAAAGTAGCCATGGATGCCAAGTCACAATGCGGTTTTCAGAGTTAGAGATAAAGCCCCGTGAGGAAAAGGGAAAGAATTTTCCCGCGCAACGTTCCGGACCTTTTGGGGAGGAGATGGGCTCAAACGCCTTTCTCTGTTTATTTTAGAAAACTCAATTTAGCTATTTTGTAATCTCTTCTGCGGTCCGTTTGGTAAATTACCATTTCCTGAGAAATTGTCCATTTCATTGAGGATTTGAAATTTCTTCGTATGGAGTTTCGTTTTTACTCAAATGAACAAAGGAGGAGCGGCCGAGGAGAGCGCTCTGCACACTGCCTGGGGGGCGATGGCGGCTGCGGCCGGGCCTGGCGGGCCCGGCGCAGGCAGAAGGGGCGGCTTTCTGAAGAGTTTCGCAGAGAAAACACTGCGACGTAAACAGTATCTTTTTAACCACATTTGGTGCCCAAGCAAAGGGGACCGTTCACAGCTGCGTGAGATTTCAGAAAGTCAGGAACCGCGCCGCCTCCCCGTCAGGGCCACTGACGCGCGCACTTCACACAAACCTTTCGTCGCCATGAGCCCTGGGGGAGGTGTCCCTGCGGGAACGAGGACAGTCACTGGGCCCGGTAGGCGCGTAGCGGGTGTCGAAGTCCTCGTGGTCAGATGGCCGGCGCCTAGTGAGGAGCCGAGGGTTCTGACAGGGGAGGCCCAAGCCCGGCTCCCACCCCGTGTGCCCGCCGGTCCGGCCTCGGTGCCCTGGAGGAGCTCGGGCTCCTCACGGTGGCAAAGCCGCCCCACGGCTGTTCCCGGATCGACACTGAGAACCAGGCCGCCGACCTTCGGGAAGAGTGCGCGTGTCTGGCTGCCGGCCGATGGTTCTCTGCGGGCCGTGAGCTCCTCGCCTCCAGCCCAGGGCTCCTTCCTGACCCCCAGGAGACTGCACCCAACGGGCATGGGGTAGTGGGCTGTGGGTGCCAGTCTGTGTGCCTGGCCCAGGGCGGTGCTGGCCGGGTGTGTGCCCCTGAGCAGGCTGCTTGGCCTGGTGGCCGGCTTCCCAGTGGCCCCCCCTCGCCACCACCCGGGTGCAGAACTGTGGGCGCTGCGGGCCCAGGGGCCACCCAGGTGCAGGCGTCCAGCGGGAGGGCTGTGTCCTGCTGGTAGCCTGTGGCCTCGCTCTCGGCCCTCCATCGAATGAACAACTCCAAGAGACAGGCCTGGCACTGTGCCTACATGTCCCTCCTCGGTGAGGACCCGGCCAGCCCCAGCGAGGGAGGGCCCCCTGCTCCATGACCCTGGCCCAGGGCGG